TGGTGTCCCGGGGCTGAAGGTGACGCTCTGAGGCTGGGGGAGCCCCACTGAAGGGCCCCACAGCAGCTGCCACCCCTCGGAGCCCCCAAACCACCCTCTGATTCCCTCGGAGGGAACCACCTTGTTTCCCGGCCGCGACCTGTGGAAAGCTTCCCTGACGGCTCCCACAAACAACCCAATCTCACACTGTGCCTGGGGCCAATGGAGCCAGCCAGACCCATGGCAGAATCATGGGGTTGGAGAAGACCTTCCAGATCATCGAGTCCAGCCATAAACCCCTCACACCATCCTGCTAATCCACGTCCCCACGTGCCTCATCTACGCGTTTCTTGAGCACCGCCAGGGACGGTGACTCCACCATGTCCCTAGGCAGCCCTTTCCAATGCTTCACCACTCCTTCTGTGTAGAAATTCTTATTGATGCCCAACCTGAAACTCCCCTGGTGCAACCTGAGGCCGTTTCCTCGTGTCCTGTGGGAAGTTACTCTGCTGAAAGACCAACCCCCGCCTCACTACAACCTCCTTCCAGGTAGTTGTAGAGAGCGATGAGGTCCCCCCGAGCCTCCCCTTCCCCGCACTGAACATCCCCGGCTCCCTCAGCTGCTCCCCGTGAGCTCTGTGCCCCAGACCCTTCCCCAGCTCCATTGCCCTTCATGGACAGTGGGTGCCGCTCCACGGCTTGAAGTGCAGGACCCGGCACTCGGCCTTGTTGAACCTCATCCTTTCAGCCCATACATCACTCCGGATCCTTGGCATTAGATGCCACATCCGTGGGGAGCCGACAGGGTGAAAGGCAGGAGGAGAAAGAGCCCTTGGAAGGTGGCTGGAAATAGCTGCTCTTCCAGCATGGGCCCAACCATGGGCGGAAAAGCGGATTTGAGGAGAGGAGAGCTGGTCCGGGATTCTTAGGTCTCTTTAAGGGTGAAAAAAGACCCTGTACAGGAGCTACCCGTCCCTCGGGGCTCCGCAACGGCCCAAGCGGCCGCGGGGGAATTGCCTGGAAGTGGTCCTGCAGCTGGGGCTGCTTAACGAGCAGCTCGATCCCATCATTTCATTTCCAAAATTAAATATATTTCCATTTATATCTGCATCCCTCCAGAGCACGGCAGGAAACTCTTGCTCTTTGGGCGCCGCTTCTGTGTTTGTTTCTTTTTGCGTCTTATCGCTTTTCCTTCTTTCTCTTTGAAACTCAGGCCACCTCCTTAACCATTTTCGTAAGCAAAGGTGCAGAGGGGCTTCTGCTTCAGCTTCAAATAATCCGGTGTGGGTATTGGAGGGGTTATTGTCCCTTTGAGGGAACACGATCCGTTTTGCACCTCTTGGGAGAAGCAAGAACTGAGGTGAGGAGGAACTGGGAGAGGAACAGCTGGGAATAACTTGCCATATTCATATTTATTTTCATTTAAAGCTCTCTTGGGCACTATTTGTAACCCAAACAGATGTATCTGTTTCCAGAGCAGTTTGCAAAGGGCATGCACTGTCTAAATTCCACATTTCCCTCCCCAAGCAGGACCAGACCCAGGAAACTACTGACCAGAAGCTGCTTTCCTCATGCTTGTTCTCCGTCTTACGGCTCTGGGACTTTTTCTGGTATGTTTTTTTAAGTTTTTTTAGAAAAACAAACAGTGCGTCCAGGACAGCAGCTCTGAGAGCTTTGTGAGTGCCGCTGCATCTCTTTAAATGTGCTTCCCATTGCCAGTAATCTAGTTACTTTAATTGCCAAAGCCATTAAGCCTCTGCAGAGTATGAAAGGGAGAAAAAAACATGCAATTATCAGTTCCCAAATTGAGTTAAAATCTTAAAATGAATTACAGTGAGGGCTGCTTTCCACCGTGACTATCAGAGCTGCATTTAATTGTATGCAGCTCGCAGCCATCTGGGCTTCAGGGGAGAAACTCAGTTAAAAAAGACCTATTTTGCTGTAATTGCTGGACTAATGAAACTGCTGTCACCTGCAGCATCCCCTTGTGCATGTCTAGACCTCTAATTTGTGCCCAGTTTCTGTTCGCTGCTTGGATCCTCCATGGGTGCTTATATATTTGAATGAAAACACCTGGATGATGGACACGTATACGGAGAACATGTGCACACGCGTGCCACCAACGATGGTGAATAAGGAAATTGGTGCAAATAACTCTTTCTTGGGGAAAAAACAACAATTAAAACAATCTGACTAGTGGCACTAAGGGAACTGCTTTGACCAAAGGGCAGGTTATAGGGATGTGGACCGGAGGTGCCTTCAGCTCCCAACCCACCAGCCAGGAGCTGATTTCTGCCTTTATGGGGGCAATTTGTGGCTTATAAAGTCGAGCTCCTGGAGTAACTAGAGGGAATGGCCTCGTCACACGCCAGGGTGCATCTGTCTGCAAAGCAGAGACGAGGTGAACGCGGTGCTGCCGGAGCCACCGTGGTGCCTCATGCAGGTGTAGCCCGTCAATCACTGCTGTTATGGCCAGTGATGGGCCATAAGGGGTGTACTGAGTTTGCGAGGCCTCACGAGGGGCCACCTAAAGAGATGATGACCTGGAGCCGCACAAAGCTGTTTGCTGGGGCAGCAAGAACGAAGAAATAATATCTAATGGAGGCAGAAGCCACCATATAGAGTAAGTTTGGACGTAACCTGGAGCCCAAAGAACAAGGTGTGGGTGCGTGACAACAAACACACCAAAGTGACCCCCAGGGGCAGCAGAAACCATCAACATGGATGTTGGTCCTCACGGCGAAGGACTCTCCGTGCCGACAACCACCCCACCAACAGCAGAGTGAAACTACCAACTTCACTATATTTATTATATCTGAGACATTTTCTACATAACCATTTCCTCAGCTCTGCGGAGAAGGACCTGGGTGTCATGGTGGACGACAAGTTGACCATGAGGCAGCAGGTGCGCGCGTGGCCAAGAAGGCCAATGGGATCCTGAGG